CCCTGCACAGTCAATAAAACACAAACGAATATTTTCTGCTATCCCATTAGCAGAATAGCATAGCCGAACAACATGTGAGTAAAAATTCATCTGACATCAACAATGATGTGCCATGCCTTGAATTTCTGGCAGCTCCCAGGTCAATGTTCTGCTGCAACCGACCGACAGGCCTGTAAGGTGAACAAGCCATCCAGGAGGTAGGTGGGCGCTCTTTAGAACCACCCTCCAGAGAGATGATAATGATGGGCATTTTCTCAGGAGCAAGGGTCCGAACAGGGAGGTCCAGGACAGAGGGCGAGCACAGGGAGAAAGTGTCACCGAACAAAATGTGTATGGATTATGGATAGAACCGTCAATGTGTTCTTAAAAAACAAAAACAATCTGCTCTCTCAGCTTTCATCCAAATCACAATTGCTTTAAAAAAAGAAGTGAATGCTGATGAGCTTCCACTTATGTGTACTGTACTAGCGTTTTAATTTCTGAGCACTGAGTTTGCAAAAGGCTCTGGCTAACACTGGAAGCCCCAAATACACTTAGGAGTCTTCACAGAAATCCAGTCTCGTGGAGTCCCTTCCGACCAGGAACCAGTAGGGTAAACAGCTTTGCCGTCAGGCAGAGTGTAGTCAGAGAGCAGATTTACCGGGAGAAGCAGGTCCTGGGAGAAGCCACGTAGCCGTTAGGGATTTTGCCTGGGCATGACTTTAATGGAATTTGGAGTGCTATCTGATCCCTGGTGGTGTTGTTGTTACTTGGGCTTCTGGCGGTTATATTATGACAAAATCAAAATCCCATAAGACCAGATATACCAACAACAGCAACAAACCAATCAGCAAACAATCAAACAAACAGAAAACAAACAGCAGGAAAACCAAAACCCAGAGAAACAAAAAAGTGAAACGTTGCCAACCCTCCCTCCAGGGTATAAGGCGATTGCACTGATAACATCATCCATTTTTCCAGCGACTCAGCCCTCAAAACACTGTCAGTATGAGGACTCCATTGGAGTACAGGTCCATCATGAGCCGCAACCCATGAGTTGTTGCCCTCTGTGTTCGTCTGGGTAAACTAGGGAAACAAATCCACAGAAACTGTTATGTATGAGAGAGAGATTTATATAAAGGGTAAGTGTATATTTAGAAAGCATCCCACCCCATGCCGCCCAAGCCCATAAATCCAACATTAGCCCATATGTCTGACACCAATCCACAAAGTCCTCTTCAATCTCACAAAACACATGCAATGACGCTGACTCAGGAGGAAAGCTGAATCAGTGAACGTGTAAGCATCACAGCACTGGCAGGGGCCTCTGTGCAGCTGCTCCAGCACCCAGGGCTGCATCAGGGTAGGTCCATGTGGCTTCTCCTCAGGGATCGCTTGCTGGAAATGAGCCTTGCCAGCTGAAGCAGGAAACTGGCTAAGGCAGCTTCACCCTGGTCCGACCATCAGAAAGCAAGGGAACTTGAAAGGCGAAGCTCACCAAGCCATTTATCCCTCCGCCCTTCAATTAACCCCACATGTGTTTATTGGCCAGGTTGACACTATAAACCCTAACTGTCTCACCCTCCACAGTTCGATCTCCCATTCAACTGAGCTCTGTTTACCCTAGGTGTAGGGATTGGTGCTAGGGAGGAACTTCCTGGATCAATTATTCCAAGTGCAGATCCCTGCCCAACAGATCAAAGCCTGTCATATCACTACAAGAGGGGCATCAAGGTACTAAATATATGGTGTTTCTGGGTCTCTTTCAATTTGTCACCCACCAACTCAGGGGTTCCCCACAAGGTCCAATGACCGCCACTTCCACAGCCCTGGGGAGGCCACTCTCTGCTTCCTTTCCCATCTTGTACCCCAGTCCTCAGTCCAAGGGTGCAGGCAGCTTCTAAACAGGGCTCAGCTCATTCAGCCCGACCTCTATGTTAAGTCCTTCTGGTAGCCCCTGCCTTATGCCATGCTGCCTGCAAGGTCAGCATCTTAGTCCACGGTGTGGTTCACTGAGGGTTGAGTAGAAATATATGCATTATGTCTACCCAGGAACATAAAATCTGGCCCATTGTCCCTGTAGGTTCCCTGTGGGATTATAAAGAGACATTTCTCCAGCTCTGTCTCCCCCAAAGACATGCCAAACATTAGAGGCTATTTGCCAGCATATGGTGGGAGTTCAGATGCTTAGAGACATCCTCCCTGAAGGCAGTCAATTTCCAGACTACTGTCTGGGCCCACCACAGGTAGGACCCATGCCCTGCTGTTAAGGACAATGGGCTACTTCTTCCTAAAGACTGTAGGTGGGGTTTACACCCTACTGAAAATGGTTTCTTTTTTTAAAAATCATTTTATTAGGGGCTCATACAACTCTTATCACAATCCATACATACATCAATTGTGTAAAGCACGTTTGTACATTCATTGCCCTCATCATTCTCAAAACATCTGCTCTCCACTTAAGCCCCTGGCATCAGGTCCTCATTTTCCCTCCCTCCTTGCTCCCCTCTCCCTCATGAACACTTGATAATTGATAAATTATTATTTTGTTATATCTTGCCCTGCCCGACATCTCCCTTCACCCACTTTTCTGTTGTCCGTCCCCCAGGGAGGGGGGCACATGTAGATCCTTGTAATTGGTTCCCCCTTTCCAACCCACCCTCCCTCTACCCTCCCAGTATCGCCACTCACACCACTGGGATAATGGTTTCTATAGTGAGGCAGAGTACAGGATAAACCAGCTCAGTGATATCCAAAATTAAGCTGCCTTCCCGAATCTAGGATCCGCCCATCTTGTCACATGTGTACCCCCAATACCTTCCCTTCCTATTGCGTGGATACCTCTAGATCACCCCCCTCCCATTACTGTATTACCTATAGCACAACCCCTTCCCGTGACGTATGTCTTTACCTGTAATTAGTGGGCTTGCATGCCCCCCAAAGATATATAAGTCTTGGTTAGCAATAAAGAGCTCTCTCCGCTCCCTCTTCCTCTCCCCATCCTCGATCCTGTTCCCTTTTCCCTTCTCCTCCTTCCCCTCCCTGTCTCTCCTGCCCTCTAGTCTCTCTCTCCACGTGCACCACCAAGTGAGGCTGAGGTGAGCATGCTACCATGAAATGTGTCTGACTCCATTACTGCAACCTCTCTTCTATCTCTCATGCTCTCTATGACTTGACTATAACCTTTACTTATTATCGCTGTACAATTGCGCCTACTGGGCCTGTGATGATGTGTTAGAGGCTGGTTTCCCTGACAGTTCCCTAAACTCATTGTTTGGCATCCCTTCCCACTAAAGTGAGGTTAGCTCTCCTCAGTCACCCACCCTAATCACCAACAGAAATACTAGCGCCTCTTCTAAAACGTAGATGCTCCCTTCCCCTGGTCTTAACTGGATTTTCCAGTATTTGTTGCATCTTTGTGTTAGTGTTGTCTTACATCAAGTGGACGGTCTTCTCCCATTTCCCGCTCTTGAAGGAGTGACCCCAGGCAATGTGAGGTCCCCTCCTTCACGCTGGCTCTTCTGGAGTGTGCAGAAGGGAGGTGATGTATGGTTCATGGCCCATAGGTAATCTTTTCCCCTTTTGTTCAGGAATTGGTCCCTATGATTTGTTTAATTGGTGTTTCTCCTTATAGTAGGGGACTCATACAAAATGTGTCCCTTTGTGATTCACTTACTTCAGTCAGCATAATGATGCCCAGGTCTTCTCATGCCTTTCTCACTGTTTTCCAGGGATGCATACGATTCCAGTTTGTGTATGTACGTTTCTTTATCCATTCATCCACTGTTGGACATTTGGGCTGCTTCCAGTTTCTTGCTATTGTGAATTGTGCTGCTATGAACATGCATGGGTAGACTAGAGAAACAAATCCCTACACACTCATGTGTGCAAGAAAGAGCGTTCTATAAAAGAGCAATTGAATACTGAGAAAACATCCGAGCCTAGTCCAAATCAAGTCTACAAGTCCGATATTAGCCCATATGTTCGATATCAATCTATAAGGCCCTCTTCAGACTCACGAAACACATGCAATGACGCAGAGTGCAGAAAGATCACAGGCCAATGGGTGGGAAGTGTTGTGGACCCAGTGGCACTGAAAGTATCTCAGTGCTGGTAGGGGTCTCCACTCATCTTCCCTGGCTCCAGAAGTCTGGTTCCATCAGCTTCTCTCCATATATCCTCTCCACAGGATGTCTCCTAGGGAGTGACCCAAGAGAAAGTATCTCCCACCTCCAAAGAGGAAATACAGGAGTTTCTCAGAATCCTCAGGAGAAGGCCATGCCCACGCATTGGCTATATCCTGATTGACAAGCTAGACTCCACCCCTACACTCTTAATCCTCAAATTCATACCAGATTATGTAACTACCACAACATGGGAGAGCATACATCCACTCTTGTATCTCTTATGTTTCTTTGGGGTATATGCCTAATAGCAGTATTGCTGGATCATATGGGCTTTAAATTCCCAGTTGCTTTAAGTAGCACTGCATGGTTTTCCACAGTGGCTGTGTGTTTTTACAAGTCCACCAACAGAGTCCCAGTCTCTCCACATCCTCTCCAGCCTTTGTTGCTTCCTGTTTTTTTGAGTGGGGCTAGCATTGTGGTGTAAAGAGGTCTCTCACGGTACTTTAAATTTGCATCTTCCTGATAGCTAGTGATTGTATTTTTTCATGTGTTTGCTAGCCATTTGTACTTCATTTTCGATGAACTACTCATGTTTTTCCCCATTTCTTAATTGGGTCTCTTGTTATTTTCTTACTGAACGTTTTGTATTATTTTGGTAATTAGCTCTTGGTCCGATGAGTCATTGGTAAACATTTTCCCCCAATCCGTGGGCTCTCATTTCACGCTCTTGAAGGCTTTTGATGTGCGTTAAGTGATGTCAGTTCAGCAGGTCCCAGGCCTCTCTAGCTTGTCTTTGAAGCGGTTTCTTGATGAAGGAAAAGCAGTTGTAAAGTCCGTTAGGGTCGGAGCCAGGGTCAGGTACAGTGTGCAAGCCCTGATCGCGTGCCCTGCCAGGCGCCGCCTGGCACCTGCAGCCCCCGGGAGGACAAAAGAACAGGTGTGCATGATTTCGGATAGCACCAAGTACTCAGCACAGAGAGATCAGAGGTTGGAGGTAAGGGAGGGGTCTGGTTGGAGTCAGGGATCAGGCGTTGGGCTGCTAACCTAGCAGTCGCTCATCGGCAAAAAGACGAGGCAGGCTGCTTCCCCCAAAATCAACAGTCTCGGAATCTCTACCCTGTAAGTGGGAACAGCAGGGGATTTGGCTTCGGCTAGCAGGGTGGACCCCGGGACCGGGACCCCCAATTGGAAGATCGAAGCGGTTCATAAGCGCGTGCTGCAGGATGCGGCTGAGAAACGTCGCTTCCTGGGCCCAGCGCGCTCGCCGCCCCACTTCGCAGACGGGAAGACGGAGAGGCAGAGCTGAAACTGGCGCCCCAAAGGCTCGCGCGTGGGCTGGAAGCGCGAGGATGGCCGGTGCATTCTACT